CTTCCTCCGGCGTCAATCCACATTAACAGGACGCCGGAGGAAGTATCTGACAGCTGGGGGGAGGAGTTGCGGCCCGCCGCGCCGTGATTGGCCGGCGGCCGCACACTACGGAGCCGGTGGGCAGAGCCTCGGGCCGCCCCGTAGTGTGCGGCCGCCGGACACCTTACACCGGCAACTTCCACACAAGGTCACCGCTGCCGCCCCGGTGCCTCGGTGGCCTTGTGGGAAATTCGGGCCTGGTGTCAGCGTATCCCCCTGTATCAGCGTATCCCCCTGTATCAGCGTATCCCCGAGTCAGTGTATCCCCCAACATATCACCGTGTCAGTGTATCCCCCATGTGTCAGCATATCCCTCTGTGTCAGTGTATCCTCCTGTGTCAGTTTATCCGTGTCATCGTTTCCCCCAGCATATCTCCCTGTGTCAGTGTTTTCCCCAGCATATCCCAGTGTGTCAACATATCCCCCTGTGTCAGGGTATATCTCTGTGCCAGAGTATCCCCCTGTATTAGCATATCCCACATGTCAGCTTACCCCTTATCCCAGGATCACTTTCAGATGTATTTAAATTTTTCAGCCAAATTGAAATAACACCTACTAATAATTATTATATGTTCCCATTCACATAGCAAAACTTAAATAAATATAAAAAACATTTTGATCACATTTTTTAACACTTTTTACTTGTTTAAAATCCTACCTAGCTTCCCCTTATGTGTAAAGTTAAAGAAAGGGTCTGGGGAGTTAATGATTATCATGTCTGTACTGTGCTGGCAGTTCTCATTATCAGTTGTAAATTCGATTTCAACACTTTCTGTCCTAACAAAGGGTTAAACATCTCAAGGTTTGGGTGATACATTGTATGTTAATGAGGAGAAGCTGACTCTGACCCGACTTGTGTCTCTACAATTGCTCAGATTAGCTTGCAAACCTGTGTATAATCCTGCTCCAAAGAGACATAAGCAAACATTGAGGGGAATTTATCAAAACTGGAGCAGACAAAATCTGGAGCAGCTGTGCATGGCAACCAATCAGCTTCTCTCTTTCATTTTCAAATCTCAACTGAACAGAGAAGCTGATTGGTTACTATGGGCAACTGCTCCAGATTTTGTCTGCTCCAGTTTTGATAAATTCCCCCCATTATCTTTAGGTATGTTGTTTTATTCATTTATTAAAGGTATTTATATAGTGCTGTGAATGTACCCAGCACTATACATACTGCACATTCACATCATTCCCCCGCACTCGAGGAGCTTACAATCTAAGGCCCCTAGGGCACATGCACACAAGGCCAATTTAGACAGGAGCCAATTAACCTTCCAGCATGTCTTTGAAGTGTGGAAGGAAACCCAGAAACACAGGCAGAACATTCAAACTCCTTGCAGATAGTGTCCTGACCAGGATTTCAACAGGGGACCCCCAGTGCTGCAAGGCACAAACAATATTCAACCAATATATGGCCATGACTGGGCCAAACACTGGTGAGACTTCGTCCCAGTCGGCAGGACTCGGCCAAAACCCAACCGATATATGGCCAACTTATTTTATCCTCACTCCAATAACATGCTTTTGTCTATGTCTCTGTTGTAGAGATTTCCCATCACTTTCTGTCTTCAATAAGGACACAAAAGGCAACAAAAAGCAGTCAAAAGCTTTCCCATTCTATCTAATACTAAATACAATTACCACACGTAAAGAGAGACAGGTGGCTGGTTTTACACAGACGTTAAAGGAGAACTATGACATGAGTGATTTCCACTCACCTCATAGTTCTAAGCCGACCTGTGACAATGACACTGTCACAGGTTGGCTCAGTAGATCGGGAGGTGAGGGAACACAAACCGGGTTCCCTCGCCCCTCGATCCTGTCACGGCTCTCTGCCGTGACAGGGGGAGGGGCTGGATTCCCCTCTCCCCGCTCCGATCTGCCAGCGCTGACTGGAAGGAACGTGGTCTAAAGCCGCCTATCAGCCAAGCAATTTATGATGGCAGGTCGAACAAGGGTAAGTAACATTTCACATAGTCTAATATAGCGTTAATATGTGACTGTCTTTAAAGTAACAGTTAACAGTCACAGATTAGATCAGAGATAACACTATAAAAATGTCAGCTGCCTTGCTGATAATTATGAGGACATGACAGACAGGAAGCCCACAGGAAGACACAATGATTTTTGAACATAATAACAGGTTTCTTTAACAAGGCAGTGCAGAGAGTAAGAGTGGGCATTAAAGTAGAACTCAGTTAAACTCACATGTAATGAGTATACCACAGAAATACATAGAAAAACAACCATTTACAATGTATGTATAGCCAAAACTTTATTTGTAGCTTTAGTTTTGGATAGAGTAGGGAAGGGTTTAAACCCCTTGATGAATATTTTTTTGCTGTCTGTGTACCATTGTGGAAATGTCCCTTCACTTCTTATAGGTTGAACTCGATGGTCTTTTTTCAGCCTGACTACTAGTTACGTACAGTAACTATGTAACTACCCGTTAACTACCCGTCCCAGGGATGCAACAGGAAGTTAGAGGAAATCTCCCAAAGTTAAGGGAATTTCCCTCTAAGACAGTTGTCCCTGTAAGAGTTGTCCCCAGAGGAAGAGGAGAGTATAATTTTATGTGTTGGGGGGGGGGACGTTGGGGAGTGTATTATTGTGTTTTAGTCTAACTTGCTTTTTCCTGCAGCAGGAATCCCTAATCTGACGTTACAAGAAGCAACTATCAAAAGGTAAGAATTATCATAAGCTAATTTAAGACGGTGTGTTTAGGGGCGGAGTTAAGGCTGAGGCAGAGTAGGGGTTAGGTGGGGCAACTGGTGGCAAGTAACTCTTAAGTCCTGACCTAGTAGCGCAGGACTTTAAATTTTGAGCCCTGGTATAGATAGTATACCCAGGTTGGTGACCTTACTTTCTCCACTGTAGTTAAGCAATACAAATTGGTCACCAACTAGCCCACAGTCAGCTGACTCAACAGTGAACAATGTTAAGCTTTTATGTAGATGGAGCAGCCACTTTCTGAGCCACTTTTCTGCACTTTCTGAGCAGTGCAGAGCCATGACTTTGCTTTACTTTTACTTTTATCTCAACACAAGGCTATGGGTCATATCAAATCCAAACGGTTTGACTGAAAGGTACACAGCCTCTTGGTGGCTCATTATGACTAAATATTTCATCTCAGGACTTTAGCAGGTCCGTGGCTGCCATACATACTGTATAGTTACTGGCAGTATCTGTATATGGAGTATCATAATTAATTTATAGAACAGAAAGCCAGCAAACATACAAGTTCAATTAAAATGCCTTCCGACAAACAAAACAACACATTTTAAATGTAAACGCACTGAAAATGCATTAAAGAGGAACTGAATCTGGACGCTGTTCCCCAAATAACGGCAAGCAGATGGCAAAGAACTGGGCACCAGTGTTGCCTGCGGTCTTCCTACAGCTGCTCTTTTTCCATTACAGACTTATCATGCCTTGTATGACACTGTTTCTGTGCAGAGGGGGCCATTTTGGTAGAGGCAGGGCTTTGCTTCCTCATGTGAGATCCTCCAGCAAGGAGAACAGTAATCAGCACAGTACAGGCATCACCAAATCTTGCTTAAAATCTCCTGAGACTAGCAGCCAGAGGCAGCAGTGCTTTAGGTCCTATTCACACCTTTACGTTTTGTCGCGCGTTCAACGCTCTATGAACGCTCTACAAAACGTACAAACTTGAAAATCCCATTGTTTTTTATGGGTATGGTTCACACCTTTCCGTATTTCAGCCCGTCTGAACGCGCTACAAAACGGCCTACGCCCAAAGAAGTACATGTACTTCTTTATGGCGTTTTGATCTCACGTTTCCATTGGGATACAGCCAAGTAACCCTCAGAAACGCGCATTTGTCGCACATTTTTTTTACCGCGAAGCCTTAGATCTCACACACTGCATATACCGAGGAATGACTAGTCAAACTCACATACTGGCAAGTGTTCTGTTAATTTCAGGAGGAAGACAAAAGTTCATTTTTCTGTGTAATACTAAGGCACAATTACCAATCCAGGTTGCTACCTATAACTTATCAAATCTTCACTTTCTGAGTTCAAGTCCACTATAAAAATTATCTTTAAAGTAATTTTTTCCTTTGCCCCTGCAAAGCAAAGTAAGAGGGTCACATAAATTTCCCCGACCCAGTAGCATATACTATACTTTTTTATTGTGTTTGTGCTGCTGTGTTTGCTGCCGTGACCAGGAACTGAAAAGCTGGCCATACACTGGCTATTTCACAGAGCTGTGAGAGAGAAAAAAACACTTTATTCCCCCACCCATGCTTAACAATATGGATGGGGCAATTCTCCCCACTGAGCTATTGTATTCTTACTGCAGTCAATGTTCAGCTGAGGTTTTTTGGACTGGCTCATTTGACAAAAGTCAACTGAAGAATTGACTTTTGTTGAATGTAGGTGTCCCAAGGGGGCCACACACTGCTGGCATTTCAGCCCAGTCAGCAGGACTTGAGCAGCACAAGGCCAGCTTAAGGCAGGTTTAAGAAACAAACTGGCATGTTGGAGCTTACACAAGGCTATGGTCTTCTTCCTTGCCATCATGTGATAGCATTGGTGCCTTTTCATTGGCCTAGCACTATCACATGGTGGAAAGGGAGTTAGTTAAATGCTAACCAATACCCAGAAGAGGTGAATATTTTACTTTGCTCCTGAACAAAACAGAAGGGGATGAGACTGAATGAGTATATGTTACCAGGGAGGGCGGAAGTTCAGTGACACTTTTATTATGTCCTTGATGGGCAGCGTGAAAGGTAAGAGAAATATTCAATCATAAATATACTTACAGGCTCAACAAATTCAAATTTCTTCTTTTCTTGTACCTCCTGGACTTTAAAGATATACTCCAGGGAAGCATTATAGAAGTTCTGTTGTTCTTTGTCTATTAAGGAGTCGGCCTAGGACAAAAACAAACACAAGTAATATGCAGTGAATGTAAGATTGTTTTACCTCCATCCATTCTGTACATAATAAATAACATCCTCGGCGCACTACTCAAGTCAATCGCTGATACCCATTACTTATTTCATTCCTGTGTTTTTCTGCTGTCATGAGATAAAAGGGCAAAGAGATGGGAATACAAGACACAAGACATCCTGCTAAACTGGTAGATTCAGCAAAGGCTTAAATATCTAATCAATCTGATTCACTCACATTCAGCTGACTGTGTACAAAAATGCATGATAGCTATAGGAACTTTACACAAAAGGCATGGAACTGGCTTATATTGACGAGAAAGACAGTATGAACACAAGTATGGGCCTTTTGAATCATCTGTGATCTTCAATCCTAACATAAGAGGCCTAACATGTACTGTATCTCTAGTCAAAGCTTTATTTTACTGTCATTGTCCCATTATGAAGAATTCAAGTACCTCAATTATTAACATAAATGTATCTTATTTGTGTATCACTCGGCTGACACTGTCCTTCCTTCTGGAGGGGGGCTACTTTTGTTCCCCATGGTCCTTGTGTGTGTTGAAAAATAGCCACCTCTCCAAGCTACCTCCGGTGATAGACTACAATCTCATGTTTCCTTTACTAATGTGGAGCAGAGGCTACTTTACGACACACACAGGGATCATTGGGAACAAAAGTAGCCACTCTCCAGAAGGAAGGACAGTATCAGCACCAATTCAGAGATGATTTCAGGATCTACAGCCGAGTGATACACAAATAAGATATATTGTTGTTAATAGTTAAAAGGTGCTTGAATGTATTTTTAAGATTTAATTCCTGAGTTTAGTGTCACTTTAATGGTACTACAATACTTTAATACTAGTACTGGTGCATATACCGAGTATTTGGACGAGTACTTATACTCGCCCATATGCTCCAATACCTTCCCCGATACCGGAACTTCCGGTCAGAGGAAGAGTTCCTCTGACCGGCAGTGCCGTAGGGGAACATGGAGCCAGCTTACGTTCATGGAGCCAGCTGTGCGATCAGGAAGATGGGCGGCAAGTAATGACCTGCCTCCTGGCTCCCTAATTGGCCGGGAAGCTGGCTCCATGCGGATTGACAGGGAAGCCGGCTTTCCAGCCAATCAGCATCGAGCTCGCCAAACACATGGCTGCATGCTGATTGGCCGGGAAGCAAGTGATACACAAATAAGATATATTTTTGTTAATAATTAAGATACTTGAATGCAATTTTAAGATTTACCTTCTGTGTTTAGAGTCACTTTAAACAGTTGTCACCAGTACATTAGTTTCCTTTGAAAGATTTCCCCCCTTTTTCTATTTCAGTGACAGTGGTTTTATTTAGGATTTTACATCACTTTCTGTCCTTGTGACAAGGGTCTCCTTAACAGAGAGGATCGATCTCCCAAGCAAGGACACAGATTGCAAAGAGGCCAGATTTTCTAACCATTCTGTACTCTATAAGAGTCGGGTTAATGGGTGTTCTTGTGTTTCCTATTTGAACAAACACAGCTGCATTTGAATGGAAAACAGTGTTTGACAAAAAGCTGCGTTGACCTGCTTTACTTGCAGTTCAAATGCACCCCAATGGGTCATGGTGTGTCAAAAGAAACGAAACACAAAGCAGGTCAAGCGCAGCCTCAGACCTGTCATGTGTTCTGGTCTTTCAGAGTCAATGGGATTTTAGCGGACCTGCGTTAGACATGCATTACAAATGCATGTCAAATTAGAGAAATTAATGTCCCTTGGCATGAGGCCTAAAACTGCTGAACTCCAGGAAAACAGCTAAATACACAGAGGGAATACAAAAGAGAGCTGCTGTACCTGCCATGCAATTTGTATGTCTGTCTATCCAGTTCTAAGATGTACATAGGCTTGACCCACAGCACATCCCTGTCTGTTAGAGCAGGAGACCTCTCTCTCTGCTGCAGTTAAGTAACAGGTCTTGTCCCTCCCTCAGCGTGTGACTGGACAGTGAGACCAACAGGCTGATGAGCTCTTCTTTCTGTTCCTTTTCCTTCTCCTCCTATCAGCATATACGTTGTTAACATTGTAATGGATCAGAACAACTGAAAGGTTTCTTATGCTGCTTCTTCTACCAATCTGAGCTCTGCTGTGAAGGAAACTGCAAGTGGCTGATACCAAGTCAAATTTAGTATATTGCTTGCATTTACAAAATGCATTTAATGCTGTGTGATGAATACAGAGCTGCATTCATCTGTGCCTTTTATATATGCCTGACTGCCTGGTCAGAATTCTTCTACAGCTTCCATTTTCTCAAATACCAGAGTGTGGTGGTTTGCTCTGCAAAGCCTGGTTCTCCCCTTACAAATTGCTATAGATCATTGAGACAAAAAGTTGCAGTGATGGGACAATACTGAAGGACAAAAAGGTAGGAGGAGCGGGGCCAAGCTCAATACTCAATTTAAGTATAATAAGGGTGCCTTTTAATTCTCACAGGGCAGTTCACACAATGAGACATACAGTTGAATATGCATCTCAGCTTGTAATAAGTTCCAACCTACATCCATGCAAAGTCTTTCTCTAAAAGAACAATCACATTTTGGTGGTTGGACCGCCAAGCGCTGTTCGCTGTGGGAGGTAAAGACCCTCCATATTACCACACAGACATGTCCCAATCAACTCGACCTGGCTCTGTTAACTTACCAAAACACATGAGCAATATATGTTGAGAGATACTGAGAACTACAGAATGCTCTGCTGACCACCAAGAGCATCTAATCCCTATTGTTTACCTCTTTAGAAGCCTTTGGCCGGTTAGCTATGAAAAGCACGTCGTTTGTTTGTAAAACATAAGCCAAATTCAAAGACATCAACGTTACCAGATGAGGAGGAAAAATGCCACATTTACAAGTAGCATTTATTTTCTTTTAAACAAGAAAACACATGTGCAGTATTCCCTATGCACTAAAAACACGGTTCCTCAATAGCATCCATGTGTACATAAGTGAGGACAAGAGTTTTACGTGTTTGATCAGATGAAAGTGTCAATGCTTTGCAAATAAGAACAGCAATAACACCCCTTTAAACACTACTTTTGACATAGCAAGCTGTTACCTTCCAGGCCTACATCTGACGTCAAACAGGCATGGTCTAGGGTGACAAAGGCCCCTGATAACCGACCTGGTCTGGTAACTAGCAATAAAAACTTCACAAACATTCTAAACCTTCCAAAGATATTCTAAAAAAGCTCACGTGTGGAAAAACCCCCCTTTGCCCCTACTATCTTTCACTTCCCACCCCCTCTAACTGTAACGTTCTTACCTTTCGCGAGTCGTCTGCGTCCCAGTGTGGAACGCATCGGCCGCGTCACATAGGGCGCCTCCTTTCTAGAAGGGGAGGTTCCTTGCTCTCCACCGTGGTTCGCGGAAGTGACGTCACGCTCCGGGACTCCACTTCTGCGGCGATAAAACTACACGATGAACGCTGTAAGAGCGTTCCACTATTGGGTCAGATGCCCCTCCGACCTCAGGAGCCTCACTACTCATCAGCAGCATACAGGATCTCCGGCCACTCAACAGCCGTCGCCACCACTCCAGCTCCTAGGACCACCAAGTGCTAGCACTTAACCGCAAGTACTCACCCCTGTGGGGGAAAGTCATTCCGCCATAAGACTGTTGTTATCTGGGCTATATTCTAAAGTGACTGCTGTTATCTGCATGTATAGTTGCCTGTACCCTAGTACTACCTGGACCACTCTAGGTCCCTCACTCCTGGGACTGCTACACTTATACATTCATCCCTTTATAGTTTGATGCATATGGAACCCTTCCTGTTATGACTGGAATAACACAGACAGGGTCACATCCTTAAACCTTTGCTTTGTGGCAGATGATGCGTTAAACCCCTCACTCTCTGTTAAGTTTGAGAGAGACGCCTGGGGTCATAACCTGATTGCCATACCCTATAAGAATTCCTGCCTAGTTCCGCAGCTGAAATCCATCTCACCTATCTCCATCCAAGGGAGCATTACACTAACTGATCCCTGCATTTATTAAAAAAAAAAAAAACTAAAAGCCACTTTTCCACGATCCACAATCACATGACACACCAGGTCTTCTCTCTTCTAAACTACGGAGTTGAAGGGTCCTTCTTCAGGTCCTCATGATGCTCAAGGGTATCTCATAAGTACTTCAGTGACAGGGTCCTCTCAGGCTCCTGGAGACTGCAGTGGCATGATAACGTCACAACGAGGGGCACCACGAAAAATACTAGTTGGTGGTGGGCCTGTTATGAAGACTTGGTTTCCACTACCAGAACAGGAGCCATGGAGATGGTAAACCAGAAGAGATTATACACCATGGAGATTATAAACCCACCACTAAAAATATCCATACAAATCCAAAGTAGGTATAGAGGCACTCACGGGTCTTGCAAGGGGGATAACTCAAAGCATTTGACAATAAAATGCTGATGCTTTGACTTATCTCCTCTGCAAGGCCAGTGAGTGCCTCTATGCCTTATTTGAATACATATAGTTATTTTTAGACATGTAGACATTTTAGACATCTAAACTGAGGAAACATTTTATTTGGATATTTCGTTATTTCGGGATTCGGATCCGAAATTCTATTCGGTTTGGGTTTTGGATTCAGACGAAATCCAAATTTCGTTAGTTTCCAAAGAGTTTACGAATATTCGTTGCGAATACCACAGAAAATCATATACAGATATTAATACTAAAGTTGAGGCTCCTAGAGTCGAATGGCATTTGGGATCCGAATTTCCAAATTGCATTCAGGAGTTCCCGAATGCCATTCGGGTCTGGGAGCCTCAGCTTTAGTAATATATGCATATGGCTCCCAGACCCGAATAGCATTCAGGAGCTCTTGAATGCAATCTGGAAATTCAGATCCCGAATGCCATTCAGGTCTAGGAGCCTCAGCTTTAGTATTATATGTATATATTGTATATGGCTTACATGTTGCCGTAACGCAAATTTGTGTTCAGACCCATTCGGATGCATTAAACCGAAAAACATATCTGATTGGCCAGAAAAGTCACATGTCTGATTCAGTTTCGTTTTTGATCCAAAATTCAGGAACGGAAATTCGGATTTGGTCACATTCGGATGCATTGGGATTCGGAAATTCGCATGTGTTAGAATGTCTGAAAATGTGTCCGAATTTTGATTCGGAACGAAAAGAATCGCACACGTCTAGTTATTTCCTTTTGCCTGGTGCAGTGGGGAAGTGAAGGAGAGGTCTGTATATGCCGAGGAGGTAGGTTATTAAAGTGTATGTAAACCTTAAAAATTAACATCTTTTATTTGACCACTTTTGGTCTGTTAAATATACAATTAAAAGTTTTTGTTACATCTGTTCGATAAGTTTAAAAAAATATCTGTTGAAGTTTACAAAAAATATCTGATGATCTTGTCAGCCAATCATGACCTGTGTGCCCTCTGCTTGTGCTGACTGTTATCAATTACATTGTTCTTAGATATCTCCAAGGAACTCAGAACCACACCCCTCTATGCTATGGAAAAAAGGAGAGGGACGGGGTTCTGTTTTCTTAATACAGAGGGTGAGGGATCATTGCCACCCAAGGATGTAAGTGAAAATAAAGGGAATAAGAATCTTGCAAAAAGAAAACAAACGCAGCTACCACATCTAAGGGTTGGTAAGCTGCAATATCTTAATTTTTTTGTTGATGGGTTTAGATATACATTAAAGGAGAATTATGAGGCGAGTGATTTTCACTCAGCCTCACAATCTGAGCCGACCTGTCACAATGAAACTGTCACAGGTCGGCTCAGTAGATCGGGAAATTAGAGAAAACACATACCGTCGCTCGCTCACTTCTTGATCTATCCCTGCAGAGAGCCGTGACTGTCACTCACGGCTCCCGGCAGGGCTTCCCCCCTCCCCTGTCCGATCCTCCAGCTCTAACTGGCGAAACGGATGGGGGAGGGGGCGGGCACAGCTGGCTCTGTCTCTGTATAGGCAGAGCCAGCTGTCAATCCTGCAGCTGGGTGGATCCAGACAGTATTGTCGGGATCAGTCCCGGCTGCGGCGTCTCAATATACCGCATGCTGTAGCTCGCAGTATACGGATCTTTGGGTCATGGGAGAACGCTAGTTTGTGTGCTCCCGTGACTCTTAGGAGAACTTTGGGAAAAAGCCCTGACCCTATAGTTCTCCTTTAAAGCAAACCTGTTGCTTTGCATTATTACAAAGCAGCAGTTCTGGCACTTTGGAACTGGAGGAAAACAACATGTTATACCCCAGATTTACACTTCAATGAAAGGCCCTTGGTCCATCTAAGACTGTATATGTTGTAACCTGATTAGTCTAGGCCCAAAGTGTTAAAGACATGTGACTGATAAATGATGTAGAAATCAATCTTTGTATATTTGGCATACTTGTCTTTGAACAAGCAGCAATTGCACTTGGCTACGCGATTGGCCATATTTGGAAATTAAGAACAGAAGCCAAACTGCTAAGATGCTTCTTAATGTCTGTTATATAATTAGAGACGTACCCAGTAATTACACACTGTACATTCACATCAGCAGACACATTCACTGAAGCTTTGTTATGACAGTGATACGTTTTTCAGATAACAAATAATAAGACCAATCATTGACATAAACCAGATTACACTTGGTCCTTATTTTAATGGTCTTTGTCAGTGTCTGGAAGATGTATAGTGTGAACGTAGACTATACAGACGATGGGGGTTTATTTACAGCTGAGGAAATATACTTCTATTTCATGGACTCTAACGTCTAACCTGCCGTGTTAGTTAAAGAGAAACAATATGGTTTTAAGTCAATTTTATTTCAAAACCAAATTCCAAACTTATTTTTTATACCTCCCCCAACTCCTTTAATATAAAAGAAAGCAAAAAACCTTGCGAAGCAATACTGGTCAGTGTAATTTATCTTCTGGATTCAATGACGCCCAACATTATTCAGCTCACTTCCTTTAAGGGATATCAATAAAGTGACACTAAACTTTCCAGTTAAATCTTAAAAATTGCATTCAAGTACATTAACTATGAACAAAAATGTATCTTATTTGTGTATCACTCGGCTGTAGATCCTCATATCATCTCTGAATTGGTGCTGACACTGTCCTTCCTTCTGGGGGGTGGCTACTTTTGTTCCCCATAGTCCCTGTGTGTGTTGCAAAGTAGCCACAGCTCCAAGCTCGCTCCTGTGATGGGCTACAATTTCATGTTTAGTTTGCTTATTTGTATTGAAATTATAGTCTATAGGGATGCACCGATACAGATACTAGTATTGGTGCCAATATATAGTATTTGGGGGAGTACTCATACTCGCCCAAATGCTCCAATACCTTCCCCGATACCGGAACTTCTGGTCAAAGGAAGATTTCCTCTGACGGGCAGTACTTGTACTCACCCAAATGCTCCGATGCCTAGCCCGATACTTCCTGTATCAGGAAGCCGGGCAGCGTGTAATAACTCACTGCCCGACCTCCCGATTGGTCAGGAAGCTGGCCAATCAGGAACCGGGTGCCATGTGATAACACGGCACTGGGCTTCCTGATTGGCCGGGAAGCCGGCTTCATGCTCCCTCTCCACCTCATGATGAGGGAGCATTTAGCCGGCTTCCAGGCCAATCAGGAAGCCGGGTGTCATGTCATTACACAGCGCCCGGCTTCCTGATTGGCCAGAAAGCTGGCTCCATGCTGTTCTTCCTGATTGGCCAGAAAGCTGGCTCCAAGCATGTTCTCATCACTATGGTGGACTGTCCAAGAGTTGATGGACTGTCCCTCCAAAAAGGGACAGCTGGGAGGTATGGGTAAGGAGGTACAGGAAAACTTGTAAAAAGGAGACTAAAGCTCCTCCTTGTGACTGTAAAGAAGAATCCATAATATTATACAATATTTCAAAATTACCTGATTTAAACATAAATACATCTTTCTTTTTTTTTAATTTCATAATTGATAAAGAAAATATATACAAAACCATTACACATACCCTGTAAAAACAGAAAATATAGTGTATGTTTATTTATTTTGTTTTTATTCCAGTATTTACCTTAAAGGATAACTGCATTATATATTTTTTTCCTTAGTTGCCCCCACCCCACTGAGTGCCACCCAACTGGTCTTATACTTCAGCCCCAAGTCAGTGATCTTCACTGTGGCATTTTTCTGAAAATTGATGCTACTGTGCCGAGTGAGAAAGCTGTACTTTGCAGGACAGCTTGAAGTCACGCTGAGTATGACTTTCACATAGAAGTGAATGGGACTGCAGTGTGCACAATACCCAACAGTCATTTTTGCATGAAAGTTTGTGCACCTCGAATAATATAATTTTGAGCTCCCATGTGGCCAAGCATGTGACCAGATGCCTAGGCACTGCTCATATGATCTCAGCTGAAGTGGAGCATCAGCATCCAGCCAAGTTGCCAACTGTTTAAATATCAGTCCCTTAGGTAGATACACCTTTTTCTAAAGAATAGGAGTGCAACCCACCTGGTCTTATACTTCAGCCCCAAGTCAGCAATCTTCACTGAGCGGCATTCCTCTGAAAATGGATGCTACTGTGGTCATGTGGTCCAAACCTATTTGTTCCAATGAGAAATCTGTACTTTCCAGGAGAGCTTGAGGTCACATTGAGTATGGCTTTCCCATAGAAGTAAATGGGACTGCGGTGCGCACAATACCCAGCCATCATTTTTGCATGAATGTTTGCTCACCTAAAATATTGTTTTGGGCACCCAAGTGGCCAAACATGTGACCAGACGCCTAGACACCGGTCATAGGGTTGAAGTGGAGCATCAGCATCCAGGCAAGTTGCCAACTGCCTAAATATCAGCCCCTTAGGTAGATATACCTGCCCTTTAGGCCATCTGCAGTTTGAGCCCAAAACAGCTCTTTCAGCATAATAGGAAAGTATTACAGGGATATGTTTACCATTTTATGGGTCCATTTTAGTAATAATCTGTAATGAAAGTTTTGTTTCTGTTTCCTATTCTAATTTATGTTCTGCTCTACCTCCCCTCCCAGCTGCCATCATCTCTTTCGCTCACTGACCACCATGTAATTAATACATCAGTTCACTGCAGGAGTCATTTGTGCAAGAAATATTACCGTACTCATCTTGTACTCCCATCAGCCCGGATAAGACTTTTCCAGCTCCCCGTACACAATTACATAGTAGGCATAGACACATGATTAAACCAAGGAAGACGGCATTTGAAGTCTGTGCCAAGACAAGAAAAATTAAAGAACAATGTACCTCTTGTAAATGCGCCTCTTTCTTCTTTGATGACAAATTCAAGTGTTTTTCTAAGATGGAATAATATTTCTCACTCTCTTTGTCAAACTTCTTCTTCCCTTCCTAGAACATAAACGACATTAAAATTCAGCATGAAATAGTAATTACAGGCTAACAAGCTTAGCGTGCCTTCCTAAAGGACCACTAAAACCAAAATACAAGTCAATACAATATGCAACAACATCTTGTAATGTGTAATTAGAAGTGTACACCAGACATCCTCAAACTGAGACACTGCGCCTGCAGTGGATGTATGGCAGGGCATGCTATGCATTGTAGTTTCATAGCTTCAGGAGAGCCACCAGCTAGTTAAACAGTTGACATCCGCGGTGTTAAACCCCCTTCCCATCCAGGCCATTTTTCAGTATTCAGCGCTGCGGTACTTTAAGCACATAGGATCACATACAATGATATGACTTCCAAAGCATGTATCTTTGTTATTAAATTGAGCAAAGACTATTTATCTAAACCATCAGATAGAATGGGGAAAGTCTTAAACCTATGCCAGGTTTTAATTGTTGCCTGTGTCCCCAAAGGGGAGATTTTCTCTTTCTGTGTGGTGACTGCTACAGGAAGTGAGCCGGATATTTCCCACAAGGACACAAACACCAACAGAAGCACTTCATCCTATTGGGGAGATTTTAAATGACTTTCTGTCCCAGCTGACCTCAGTACCAGGGTAAGATAAGACTAAGGTAAGGGCTCATTTAGATGGCCGTTGTTTTCCTGAGTTTGATATATGCTTAAAACGAGCGTCAGCCGATTCCCATTGCCTTTAATGTAGTTGTGTACATGACAGTTCAGAGGCTGTGTTTGACTTGTTCTGCATTGCGTTTCACCGTACATAAATAATTATATTACTTGTGTAATTATGTCTTTTGAAATGTAGATGGTGCTGTAGTGCAATGTTAGTCCATATATGCATGCTTATCTATGATACCGAGAAAGTTCTCTCTGTATGCTGTATAATGCTGTATTCTGATATAGTGTTCTTCAAGTATAAGATCTCAGTGCTTCATCTAAACACAAATTGCAGGTCAAACTAAGCGTTATCTTATCAAAAACTGCTTTTTGTATTCATGTATATATGTCTGAGCAGACTTTGAAATAAAAATGCCTTGTTTGACAAGAACAAATTCCACATGAGTCCTAAGGCTGGGTTCACTCCATTGTGGGGCATTAGCACAGGCATTATGCCACACATTACGGTGCACAGCACAATGCAAAGTAGTGCGTTACCATGGGTTGCGAGCATTTGCGTTGGCAAGGTGTGTTGAAGTGCCATTAAGAATAAATGGCACAGCAGCATACTAACGTACTTATTATGTGTGTTATTTGCAATGGTTGCATGTTATCGCAACATAACAATATGCAATGCAATAACAGTGAGCATTAAAATCATAGCAGAGCAATGTGGGTAAAAAATATTGGATATCTTATATCAAGTAAGGATCCTGATTGATCATCTTGCTGGTATACAACTCTTAACTAGGCAGCTCTCCAAAGAACATAAGTCAAAAGCATGATGCCTGCACCTAAGGAGTTGGAAGTTTTGGGAGAAATTTGCCAAACAGATTATTTGTGACGATATTTTTTTTTCATTTATGCATTTCAAAACAAAGCCAATACATTTTAGGGGTTCCAATAGGCTCCTTCATCAGGGCTATAAAATAAATTGTACTGATGAATTTGTAAAATGTATGCTAAAAGTGTACAAATCTATGAATTGGCCAAGATAAGAAATATTCACATCATGTAGGAAAATAATAATAATAATCATAATAAGAATAATAAAAACATAAAAAAAGACAAAATGGTTTATGAAAATATGTTTCTGAAATATTAACTTTAATGTACCCAAAACTTAATTTTTAATTTTCTAGTAGATGCTGTAGAGATAAGCCACCGGAAAGCTTCTTATATCCATTTGAGGGCTCTATTGGTAAAATAATGACTCTTGAGTTCCCCAGTCTGCACATCTGCTGTGCCATTTATGAAGGTTTACCATTCTCCCATTTGGACTTTTACATTATGGAGAATGCAACAGGGGGAGCTGGAACATACCAAGGTGGGCTGGAACACCAAACATTGCCAGGTGGACAGGAACAAGGATGGTAATATGACAGGAAGCTCCAGCTGTGGGATATCCAAGGCATATTTGAAGCCAGTGTTGACTCAACCAACCAGAATATCAGTTTGGTATGGTCCCTGGTCCCTGTGTGTGTTGTGAAGTAGCCACCACTTCAAACTTGCTCTCGTGATGGACTACAATCTCAATACAAATTCGTAATTACAAATTAGTGAACTAAACATGAGATTATAGTCCATCACAGGAGCAAGCTTGGAGCTTGTCTACTTTACAACACACACAGGGACCATGGAGAAAAAAAGTAGCCAATAGTTAAGGTACTTGAATGTATTTTTAAGATTTAATTCCTGAGTTTAGTGTTACTTTAATGGTTCTTGATAGGGATGCACTGATACCGATACTAGTATCGGTATCGTTGCCAATACAGAGTATTTGGGTGATTACTCATACTTGCCCAAATGCTCTGATACCTACCCCGATACCGGAACTTCTAGTCAAAGGAATATTTCCTCTGACCGGCAGTGCCGTAGGGGGAACATGGAGCCAGCTTACTGTGCGAATAGGAAGCTGGGCGTTGAGTAATGACTGGCCTCCCATCAACAGACGGCTGCATGCTGATTGGCTGGGAAGCCGGTTTTGCGGCCAATCACAATCAAGCCGGCCAAACAACATGGAGCCGCCTTCCCGGGCATTAAGAAAGCCAGGCATTATGTCATTACCCACCGCCATGCCAGCGGTAGCAGCGAAAGCAAAGCATCGGTACTCGCACTTGATTGATTCAGATCTGGCCACTATTGACATGCGAAGAAGAAGCAGTGGCCACATGCAAGTTTTTTTTTAACACGTGTAACTGCAGGGGGCATGAGAATCTCATAAAGACTGTGGAAGGGGGTTCATAGAAAAAAGACTGTTATTGTCAAACTAATTTATGGTTATATTATGTGTTCAGTTATATATAAACAGTGTTTGAGGTGTTCTTCAGCTTATCATCTCTCCCACACAAATGAGAGTCCAATAACGCTGCGGAGTGAAAAGACACAATAAGAACTGCATATATCCACAATGTAATAATGAAATACACTAAACTGGTGACTGGAAAAGACATTGAGGTAATATGATGAAATGCACAGTATGAATCAATTACTTCACTTCAGAAAGCTTCTCATTAGGAAACTATGTCATGGAGAACTTTCCTGCATTTTTCTCTTTTTCTCTTTTTGAAGTTACTGAAAGCTAGATGCCACACTGCTGACATACTATCTATGCGAAATACAGCAGAATAGAAACTGCTACTGCGGATATTTATCACAGAAGCAAGTGCATTTACCTTTCTGGTGATCCGTGTCTCTAAACCCCTGCTGCTTTGCTACTCCCCATCCACTTATGGTATTCAACACTTCTAGGTGTGTCAAAAAGCTGCTCCCACCGCCATACACTGTGGTTCCTCCCGCTGGCATGTACATGCTGTACGGATATACAAGCTACCTAGAGCAACCATAGTATGACTAGATCACAATTCACATTACGTGGGTGGGGCAGTCATAGACCTCCCATGTAAAACATCACTTTACCTGGCAGTCTTTTCTCCTTAATGGGGGGTTACTTGTACATGTATCACAAGGAAGCATTGATTGAAATTGTTTTATTTAATAAAGAGTTCTTAGGTTAGACATTTCAAGTGCAGTGAGCTATAGCAACCAGTCAGAATCCATCTTGTCTAAGTGAACATGTGTTTTACTCATGCAGGGTAAAGCAACAGTTTTACGAGACGTACTTATGCACCTTTCATTGAATAGTTTCATCCAACCAGAAAGCCCTTGCACTGTATAGTTGTTGGTAGAGCTAAAGGAGAGTGTACAATCTATTATTATTATTATTATATTGTTATTATTATACAGGATTTTTAAGGCACCAACAGATTACGCAGCACTTTACAAAATGGAGTGAGACAGTACAGTTACAAAACAACTTCAATACAGGAGGGTTTGGAGGACCCTACTCATGAGAGCTTACAACCTAGTAAGAGGGGTACGTGATACAAAAGGTAATAATTGTGTGGCTTGAACTAATGGAAGAAGTAAAAGGAAATTGATGTCAAGGTTAGATAGGCTTCCCTGAGGAGATGAGTTTTAAAGGATCACCTAAAAGTGGACAGAGTAGGAAATAGTTGGACAGATTGCGGATCGGCTGTTCCAGAGGATAGGACAGGCTCTGGAGAAGTCGTGGTGGCAGGCATGGGAGGAGGTGATGAGGGAGTGGGAGAGCAGGAGGTCTTGAGAGGAGCAGAGGGGACGGTTTTGGTGATATTTTGAGATGAGGTTTGGTAATGTAGTTTGGGGCAGAGTTGTAGATGACCCTCTATGTTATTGTTAGTATTTTTTAATTGTATTAATTGGGCAAGTGGGAGCCAGTGGAGAGATTGGCAGAGAGGGACGGCAGATACTAAACGTTGGTATGGTGGATGTACCATGTATGGTCAGTTTAAGATTAGTCCATAAACATGTAAGAAAGATTCATTGTTTGCCTCCTGGGTACCTGTTGGGTGTCCCAATTGCTTTGCGTGTGTGGCCCAGTATATCCGTGCATGGAAACAAATACAGTTTCTTTGGGGGGAAAAAAAGGCAATATAATAGCAAGCAACTTCAGAATGATAGAAGAACAAATTTAATTTCTCGCTTCTTTAGAACCCTGCAATGTGATTTTTCGGAGATAAAGATTTAAGCACCTGCTGATTCAATTCCATCCACACAGCCTGTTTAATACGGGGGAAGTGAGACAGGCTGGGCTGTTTAGCACATTCCAGGGCTGAATGTTGGATCCACTTCTGCCGCACATCGTTCTGTTATTGCACTCAATGCAAAAACAAAAGGGAATTTTCCTTCAGCTCTTGAAATCCAATCTTCCCTGAATCTTTGAGGAGTCACTTATTAATCATCACAATGAAAAACACTTAAAGAAGAACTCTGCCAAGTAT